CGCTTGTGGTTGCCCCGCAGAAATCAAAAATCGCTCCAATATTGGAGCCGACGAATTAAACTCCAAATTTCACCGGCAACCAAAAATTAATATTCACCCTTCAATTCCGCCATAGCCAACGCCGTCGGACGAGAAGTATGCATGAACTCCGACGTTTCATCCCGACATCTGGACATTCAGATGGATGAGGTGCGATTTTTTTATTTTTTTTTCTCAGAATCTCAAAAGTTTTTGGTGCTATTTTTTCGTAGGAAATATAGCTGGCATTGATTATAGGTGTTGTTTTTTATGAGTCTCTTTTGGGAATTAAATGATCTGGCCTTTATTTGAATTAAATGATCACATGACTTTTATTTGTAATGTTTGAAAAACATATAACAACATAATATTATTTTTTACATAGTTCGGTTCCGTCATTTTAAAAATTAAAATCTACATCAAATTGAATTAACTGAAATTTAAAATGTACCAAATAGATAGTCGAACTAAAATATAAGATTTGCATCGAACTTTTTAGTTTGGTTGGTTTCGATCGTTATAGTGCAATATGTCATTCACTAAGGTGCAATCCGTATAACAGTAATGTGCAGTCAAAGTACAATTATTATTTTTAATTATTTGTTACAATCCATACTAAGACTGAAATAATTAGTTTATTTAATTGGTTAACCGAACTAACGTAATTAATCAAAAATAATTTATAATTTACATTATAAAAATATTGTGCATCGTGTTGTTCTGTAAAATACAACGTGTTGTTTATAAAGTGCAATGTGCTTATGTATAAAATGCAACGTATTGTTTATAAAGTGCAATCAAATAGTCGTGATATTGTGCATCATGTTGTTTAAAGTATTATGTATATCCGTTTGTTTGGATTATGCTGTGTTGTATTTTATCGGGAGCTACCGACGTTAATTTGGGAGTATGATGACAAAGTGCAACATATTATTTTATAAAGTGCAACGTATTATTTTATAAAGTGCAATAGTTTATTTAATAAAGTGCAGTGTGTTGACATATAAAGTGCACTACTCTATGTGATGCCATATAAGTTGTGTTTTTTTTTTTTTTGAAGATTAGATTTAGTAGATAAATATTTATATATATGTATATATATATATATATTTATTTTTTCAATATTTTTAATTTTTATTTATATTATTCTTGTATAATATATTTATTTATTATTTTAATTATATAAGTATAAATAATGTATAGAAAAATAATACTTTTATATAGTTTTAAAAATTGTAGATTTGACCATGGACTAAATTAGAATAAAATCAAAATTGTTAAAATTACACATAAATCCCTAGAACTCATCAAATTTTCAAAAGAAGGCCCAAAATATCTAATTCCCAACCCCAAACTCCTTTCACTGCCGAATCAGCTTGCCCCGGCCGCCGTTGAACAGACGGCCGTTCCCGGCCCTGCCACGAGCTCGCCGGTGATGGATTTCGTCAATTTTGGTTTTCTTTTGAACAGATTCTTTCGGCTCCGGCGACTGTTATGGAGGTTGGCTCCGACGACAGTGAAGGAGGGTGACGACATCCAAAGTGGTTGAGGTGTTTTGGCCTGCATATGTGAAATTGAAATGACCGGAAGAAAACGACGGCGTCTGTGAAGTGGATGGTGGCGGCGGATGAAGGATGGCGGCGGCGGATGACGGCGATGGTGGTTCTGCTGATATAGTTGTGGCGCGGCGGGGGCGTACTGGCGGAGACCGGCGCGGTCAAGGTGGAGGCTTGGCTGTGGGAGCGGTTGCGGGGACCGCCGGTGATGGCGGACGACTACCTGAAACTGGCGGGAGACGGCCGGAAAATAACAGGCGACGGCCGGCAATGGCGATGCAACAGTCGGAGAATCTGACTGTGTAGTTGTGCGTTTCTGTGTGTGTCTGTGTGTGATATGTGTGTGTAGTGTGCGAAGTATGTGTGGGAAATTGTGTGTGTGATAGAGAGAGAGAGAGGGGAAGAGAGGGAGAGGATAGAGCTTGGGAGAGTGTGTTTGTTGTGTTCTGGTGCGTGTGTTACGTGTGTATATGCGTGTGTTGTGTGTATGTGTGTTAGGTATGAGGGTTGTGATGTGGCATGATGATGTATGATGTGTAATTGTAATGTCTAAATTACCCTTAATGAAGGTGGAATTTTGGCTTTTTTATTAGCCATTAGATCATTCAATCTAATGGTTGTAGTTTATTCTTATTTCTTTCACTGAGAATCATTCTCATGTGAACTCAACCCTATATATATATATAGGATGTGGTTCAAGTGAGAACCAAGTCCAAGCGTGAGAACTGTGAGAACTGCTATTTTTATTGCATCTACTACTATGATTGATTGTGTTTTGGTGCTATTTTTAACTAGGGTATATTTTTTAAAAAATAGCAACACAATTTTATATTAGCATGTGTAAAAATAATAGCACCATGTAATAGCATCTTACACAATTAAAAATAGCATCAAATATGGTTCTCACGGTTCTCACATCAATACTAGTTTTAATTTATATCAACCCATATATATATATATATATATATATGTATATATGTATATATATATATATATATATGGTTGGGTTCCGGTGAGAATGACTCTTATCGAAAGAAATAAGAATAAATTAGGTACGCAGGATCAAAGCAATCTGATGGCCACCACGGGCGCGCTGCAATTTACTCACCCCATCAATTGTAGGGTAATAATGTCAATATACTGCCTACCCCATA